TAAATTTAACTTGATTTTGGTTACTTAGTTTAATTTACCGCTCACTTCAAATATTTAATGTGTGTGATCATTCAAGCTTTGAATTTACAAGTAACAATTAGTATAATAGAAATCAAAATCTACTTCACAAGTTCCTGAGGATCGACAACCTTTACACTATATTACAGAGACTTGGGTGCGCTTGCTCGGAAGACCAACATTTGGTAGCAATGACTACAAGAGGTACGTTTCCGCTATTATAAGTTATTCCTTAAGGTTTTTTGTTTTTCTTACATGGGGTGCTTACTTTAAAGTGTAGTTAAAGTTGTGACCTAATAAGGTTTAGTATAGTTGAGAAATAGTTGGGTAGAAACTCAAATGTATGACCATGTATATAGAGAAAATTTGGTTGATAGAGAAAATCTACTTCAATAAACTCCTTGAATGACACAAAATAGGGGTGAGTAAAACTCGATTCTTTCATACATTCAACCTATTTCTTTGTTGATTTGAACAAATTCAAGTTATGTTTCAACTTTCCCAACCCGTCATTCATTTTTTAAAATGTATAAATTCTTAGAATAATTGTATATTAATAATAAAATGTTTTTTAAATAGATAATATTTGGTATAAAATTATATTGTATTTTAATGACATTATTATTTTAAAATATGCCACAAAATATATTTTAATTTAAGTTTTTTTTTATCTATTTTATTTCATAATTTAACTATACACATTAATGCTAATATATTGAGTTAAAACATTGGATTGACCCATTCTCGTTTCATATATTTTGGATCTTGATCAGGTTGGGTTTGAATTTAAATAAATAACTCAATCAATTTTTTTGATTGGGTAAGGATAATTATAAGCTCGTATCAACCCGTTCTTTATCGATGGGATTCCATGGGAGAATGATGGACGAATTCCTCCATGTAGCTCTTAGATCCCTTCTTGAACTTCCATGACCTCCATTCCTTAAAAATGACACACCAATGATGAAGGAAGCCTCAAATTTGGTGTGCAACTCTCCAAGAGAAGAGGTAAGCAAGCAAGTGAAAACACCAGCCACAAGGAGAATTTCTTTGATGGAAATATTTAAGGAGAAAGCTTCTCCAAAGAGTCTTTAGAGAGAAAAGGGAGAGAATTTGGAAAATGAATCTAATCTCATCAAAAGTGACGCATACAAAGCAAATGGCGCCTTATATAGAGACAGGAAGCTTACGGAACAATTTAAGCTAACCTAAGTTCATTTTGAACCATGGAAGCCTAACCTATGGTGACTTTGGAAGTCCAAAGTAAATTCAAATTTGAATTCAAACTTTGGCTCCAATGCCATGTGCATCATGTGCTTCTAGATATAAAATCTAAGTTAGCCAATAAAAGAAGGTCTTGTAACAAGTAAGGAAGGTGTAACTTAATTTAAATGTCATGTAATTAGCATTTGAATTTACAATTGGAGACATCAAGTGTGCCTAATCCACTTGGTCACATGTGTTCTTGATTTGATTCAAATGCTAATAAATGGCCCAAAATAAGTTGCACCTCCTACACCCAAAAGAAATACACAATAAGGAAAATTACAATAAAAATCCCTATACTAGTTAGTCCAAAATCTAAGGCCCAAACTAAACAAAATAAAAGAAAATATGTAAGAGACATTGAACATAATTAATTAATGGTCTATAGTAAAAAATTAGCTAAGGTTCACTAACCTCAACATAGGTCCAATTCTCTCTAAATACTTCAAGTTTAATCCATTCCTTTAGACTCTTTTTAAATAGTACTCTTTGGAATAATTTTATCATTTATTCACCCTAATGCAAACTAAAAACAAAACAAAGAGACGAAGGTTGTGAATGATATATTTAACCACAAACAAAATAAAGAGGTGAAGGTTGTGAATTATATATTTAACAGCAAAGAAAACAAAGAGGTGAAGGTTGTGAATTATATTTTTGTTCCGGAGTAGACTTGGTCAATTTGATTGTGGGTCGAACATATTAGGTTGAGTTTGATTGAGACTAAATTTAATGGGGATTTTATTTTTCGAATTTTGTCCTCAACTTTTAGCTTGCTAGATGGGTGGATTTAGATCCATTAACCTCGACCTATTTTGAAAGCCTTAAAATTAATTATCGAGAAAAAAAGAATGTTATTGTGGATCTCATTATGAATATGACTTAAAATAGCACTCACATTCGCATTCCTTTCTTTCCCGCGTTCATATTTCATTTCGATGACCTTAAGGCACGAAAAACTATGCAAGTGGAATGCTGCCTTTATAAATGGACATGATAGGCAAATTCGTTTGATACCCTTGGAAGAGAACTGTCATATCCTGCAATAGTCTTCTCTCGACACTTTTTAAAAAAGAAATGGTCCATGAATTAGACTAGGCAAAGCGAGGTATCACACCTTGCATTAATTTCTTTGTTCTTTATGTAGCTTTCGACATTACGTTTGTTTGGATGTAAATAAAGAGGAAGCAAAAGGATAAGAGGAAGATAGGATAAAAATATCAAAAATTTTTAACTAGGATAAGAAAACTTGTGAAATATGAAAAGTGGGAGATACACTACTAGATTTTAATCCTTTAACAACATTTTCTTGTTTATATTTGTTAAAATATTACTATATATTATATAAATGTTATTTTATAATATTTTTTTGAAAAATGTCATTATAGATAGAGTAACATTTTTTATTTCAATATTATTCTTTCCAATTATTTTCAAAATCAAAATCTCATATCGAGTAAAAAAAATTTACATAAGTTATTTTGCAACATTTTTTTGAAAAATGTTACTATAATTGCTTCTAAAATCAAAGTCTCACATCGAGTAAAAAAAAGTATATTTTTCTTATATCTAATTGTAACCCATAATTAAAATCCTACATCGAATAGATTAATGACTCATAAAGAGTATATATACTTATATAGTTATATTTAAGATAAATGAAATTTGATATTCTATATATAATTAGTGATGACTAACTAAAAATTTATTTCCCTAAAAACTTAAGGAATTCTTAGAAGTTTAGGAGACATATCAATATAATAATTGATAGTAATATTTAAATTAAAATTAATTCTTATTTTATAAGATTAACAAAATCTTGACAACATCATTAAAATGTTACAAAAAAATTATTACAATATTACAAAAATACTACTTTGATAACATTTAAAAAATGTTACCTAATTATGCAAAAATGTTACTAAAAGTCTTTAACAACATTGACTATATACAACATTTGATAATATGTTACTAAAACAAATTAGCAACATTTATACATAATTAAATAACATTTTTCAAATGTTGCTAAATACCATTTGTGTTGTAGTGATAGGATGTAATATCTAGTTTGCCGCCATATTTATTTATTATAACAAAAATTAAACTACCATGTATTATGTCAATACATCATTATAAAATTAATCTTAAATGTTATTAAATTAATATATTTATTTTTGTATTAATTATTCTCATTTCATCATATTTTTTATGTAAACTTTAGAACTAATTAATACTTTACTCTTATTTTATAATTATTTTTATATATCTAACTTCTTTCTTCCTCTTGTATATAACTTTCTTTCTCTCTTGTCCCTTTCCTTTTCACTATTTTATTTGCATAGGAAAAAGAGAATTCATCAAAGGAAAGAATCCTAAAACATCAACTAAAAGCTAAAAGGACAATACATGTTATTGCTTTCCTTACTTTTTATAACATATGAATATTATAATTCATATAATATATTTTCTATAATTTTTCATTTTCCCCCATTTTTAATTCTAAACTGTAATTCTAATCTTATGTTACAATTCTCATTAGAAATTGAAGGTAATTCTTTTTCTTATTTCAAAAAGTTAAATTGTCAAAGATTTTATTCATTCTCCCCTTACATGAATGTTTTGAACTGCAACTCTCATATATTGTCATAATCTTACTCTTCGCAATAATCATGTGATTTTAGTTTTCTTTTTCTTGTGAATAAAGTCTTATCTCTTAATTCTCATTAGAAATTAAAGGTAATTTTAATTATTTTTCATTTTTCAAAAAATTAAATTGTCAAATATATGATATTTATTCTTCTTTCTCATTAATTCGTTGATTTGCTATTCTTATTTGTTGTCAATAGGGATGCGAATAGGTCAAAAATCAGGTTAGGTTTTGAATATACAAAATGGGTTTGTTTTGTAAAATTAAAGTCTAAATTTGACATATTATCTATTATAATCTTTTTTTTATAAGTCTGACATTTTTAAAGCTTGGCCTAACCTGATCTATTTGTCTATTTAAAAACCTATTTAAATTATAATAATATGATATTTATATGCTCTAACTTAAAATTAAAATTAATAAAATTGTTATAACTAATAGTTTATAATCATCAGTTACTAAATAAAATAAAATATTATTAATTTTTCATCTTATTCATTTTTACTTTTTTACATATTTTACATATCATAAATTTAAACTAATTTTTACATATTTAAGTATAATAATTTACGTTTAATTTAACATTAATTTATGTTAAGTTAACACCCGATTCTAATTAACTAAAAAAATCTATAATTAGATATCAATCAATTTAATTATATATATAAACTATTAATTTCAAAATATAGCATACTCATATTAGAAATACAGTGTTTTTTCATGTCCTAAAACTTCTAATAAGAAAAACATTTAATTTTTTTTTCAAAAGATATAAAATATCTATACAAGAAAGAAATTATATTTAAATAAATAAATTAAATTAAATTAAATTAAATATTTAATATACTTTTCAATTAAATAAAATTTAAATAATTCATTATTTTTCCACGCATAGGCGGTTCAATATCTAGTTTTAATAAAGATCAAAGGGTGACAATATCTTTAAGGGCAAAGTAATTAAATTCTTGCATTTCTATGATCAAATTATCTTGAGCATCTTGTGAATCTTATTTTAATCACTTACACTGCTCCTACATTGTTAATTGATTTCACCCTCGTACGTATTACTCAGTCTACTATGATGACTGATGAGGCACATCCTATGGTATTGGTTCCCAAAAGTGTGTCATGTGGAAAATCAAGCCAAGCAAGTCTTCTGCAATTGCTTGGAAATTGATGAGGCTTGGGAAAAGAATTTGGCTATCTTGAATGTTCCTTGCCTCATTATAAAACAGAAAACTACTACATTTAGAAAAACAGAAAACCACACCAGCATTGATAGCAGAGAGAACTGACAAAATTTGAAATTAGTGTTTACCCTTTGATTGTTTTTCATGTCTTCTGAGCCTCCTTTTTTCCACAGAATAATTTCTAATGCTTGGAAAGGCTTAGCCATTCCAAGATCTCAGGACGAAGGTAACCACCTTCTATCCTCACCCAGCAGTGTAACCAGAATCAGGTCCTTCACTTTAACACTGCCTCAGAACCATGGTTCTGATCGCTTGCCACTGTACCATGTTAACGCAACTGAGATACAAAAACTAGACTACCACCCCAACCCCAACCCCAAACACAAAACTCCCTTAAATCTATCATTAAAAATTGTTTGTATGACCTTTGCTGCTTTAGGGTACCCAACAATGTCTGCATCCCAATATCAACCTTCTATCCTTGGACCTGCTATGATGGTTGCTTTTGCAGCTTCACTCTCGGCGATTTTCATCAAGAGTTCCTACCCACGGCTTGCAGCAATTGTTGCAATAATTGGGTATCTCTCTTTTACTCTCAGTTTCTTGGTAATGACCAAAGTTTTCTTCACTGGAAATTTAATCTTGTGGGGTATCATAGGAGGGCTGGCTATGGTTTGGATCATAATAGCCCTCCTTATACGCTTCTTTGCATGAAGCCTATCTGTAGGGGTCATAAAATCTCCGAACTAAGTAAATGATTGATTGATCTATTGCGGTTTTAAAAGTTTCCTTGATGGTATCAAAAGTACAATTGTCGACACGTACCACAATTGTCCATAATTTATATTATCATATATCAACTACTATAACCGCAATTTATACTGATGATCAATTAAGTATCAGTTTACAAGGTGCAAGGGATGTTGTGACTTCTACTATCTTAGCCATCGTGCTGATGGCTTGCATTGTGCTACATCCACAACAACTACATCTACTTTTTTCCCTTCTATCATAGTATATCAGTAAACTTTGCAGTCTGTATTTTAATCCGGAATCGAGATCGTACATCGTTACACCATAAGTCAATCATCAGAAACCATTTATATTTCTATGGCTTTTACCTGATAGCTATTAGCCAGAGTCAGTGTAGTGTTAACTGCAAATGGGCAAAACAGATACTCTCCCAATGTATGGTCTGTGAGCTCTTTGTAACCTTAATATGGTTCACACCGCACAAGAAAGTAAACTAGCCTACATATGCCACAAAAAAACAACTATTTATTCCTAGTCAAACAGATATTGTAGCTGTCACCATTCAACAGCAACCTCAGCTTGGCTTCGAACATACAAGTAAGTGATTCAATCTTAATTATCCGTTTGCTCTGATACAAGTGTTTAAATTTTTTAAGGAAAATTACTCCAACACCCAGGTTTATTAAGATTGCATGTAACTTCTTACTTTTTTAATGTTTACAACAACTCTTGATAAGGATATATGTTGTAGTGTGTTTCTTGGATAACAGAGAGTATTAGTATAATCTATACGAAGTTAGTGTAATGTTTTTCAAATAATTAAAAGGGAAGGAGGAAGAGTATTGAAGGAATTTTGGCAATGCTTCATGGATGTTAGTATTATTTAAATTTTTAATATCAGTTCACAATGTATGTGTTATTGGATCAATAACTTTGATTTCTTCATATCTCATACATTTGTCAGTAGCTAAATCATTAAAAAAATTGGATATTGGTCTTGCAGGTTTTCGTCTAGCCTACTCCAGGCAGTAATCAAGTAAAAACCAATTACTAGGTAGATCTTAATGATCTGCTGCATATAAGAACGTGGCAACTTGTGAAGTATTTGAATCAAATATTGGCTAACACGACTCTGGAAGAGAAATTATCGTATCTGATGTGAGGCATATCAAGTCACTATCTCATCGTACTGAATCGAAGTTGAAATAGAGTAAACAAAGTGGATTGAAATTTGAGGGATTTATTACACATAAGTCCCGAAAGTTTTTTATTCCTCCCATTTAATGGGTACCCTACCCTTGTATTTGTAGTCAAGTGCTATTAAGAACTTATTAGGATTATGTCCTATGTTTATTAATATCATTAGAATCTATGGTAAGATGTTGGATGCAGCAATTAATTTACTATGAAGATTTTACTTTACATATCGGAGCTTCTGTCATGTGAAATGCATATCTCAGGTTCGAAGACTTGCCAAAGAGAATGGCCGGAATATCTTCAGTCTAAACATCAGACTTAGACCTAATAGATATATTTCAGCATTATTCTAAAATAATTTGAGTGACAATCGCTAATTTATTCCATTTTGGTATCTTGCAAACTTATCGGCTATGTTGGGGTTCTCTTTTTTCCTTTTTTATCCAGCTTCAATCGGATACTTTTTTTAAGTCATCAAGGTTGAAGTTTAAGATTTCTTCTAATTACTCTGTTCCTCAGCATAAAGGTAATGTTAAACCATCATTACTTATACCTCGTAACCCCAAGCGTGTGATTTAACGGTAGAGGTTGATCCACGCTTAAGTAAGGTCAGGGGTTCGAATCTTGCCTTGTGTATGCAGCTGCGTTAAATCTTGAGGCCAGTTATCTCACCTTTTGAGATGCCTCCAATGTAGCGAGGAGATTAGTCACGCCTATCGGCCCTAGATACTCCAGAGATGAACAAAAAAAAAAAAACTTATACCTCGTATATATAAGGACTTCTTTGGGATAATATTTATCTTTTGAGTTTTTTAAAAGTTAAAACCATTATTTGCTACTTCTTTGAGTTTGTATGGTAGTATCAGTGGCTAGGCAATAATTAGTGGTGGTGGTTGTAGTATTATTGAGATTGATAACAATGGTATCGGTTGAATCCAGATCCTAAATTGTTCTAATTATGACAAGCATTTGGTAATGCAAATTGTAAGGATGATGGGAAATTGTTAATAGTTGAGATTTTTTCACTATCATAATTAAATATTTTAAACTCTAGGTAATTTTTTATTTTGTTTGTAAGTTTAGTTAAATGTTGTTTATGTTCAAAAATAATAAGTTGTATAGATAAATGATGTTTGCTTGTTAATTTAGTCATATTTTATTATTTGCTTTAGTCAATTAGGCGTTAGTCAATTTTAGTATTTAAACACTTGTTATAAAGACTTTCAATGTGTGAAAAATTGAGTTTATAACTCAAATATATCATATTAAATTTTGCCTCTTTTGTATGTGTGATGTTGTAGATTTTCTTATCTGAACATCCATATTTTGTTTAGTCATAGATCTCTATTTTTCATATTGTGTTATCAACATGGTATTAAGAGCTTCATTAATTTTTAAGGGTCTGTGAGACAAGAGAGAGAAAGAGAGAGAGAGAGAAACTAACATAAAAAACCCATACTAATAAACCTTTAAACTCAAAAATAACTTCTAATAGTAGTAGTTCTTTGCCTCCACCTCCTATATTTGCAAGTGAAAACTATCACTTGTGAGTTGCAAAATGAGGACTTATCTTAAAGCTCAAAGTTTGTGGGTTATGGTGGAGAATGGAAGTAATCAACCTCCATTACCAGAAAACCCAACAGTAGTCAAAATGATGAAGTGGCAAAAGAAAGATTAACTCTTGTCATTATATAGGTATCATTACATGATGATGTATTTATCAAGATTCTGACTCTTGAAACTACAAAAGAGACATGGGATAAGCTACAAGAGGAGTTCCAAGGGAGCGAAAGAACGAAAATAATGCAAGTGTTGAAACTAAGGAAAGAGATTGAAGCTATAAAAATGAAAGAACGTGAGTTTGTTAAAGATTTTATCGACAAACTTTTAAAGGTTGTTACCCAAATCAAATTACTTGATGATAAACTTAGTGATGAAAGAGTTGTGGAGAAAATCTTGGTGTGTTTTTCGAAAAGGCTTGAATCCAAAACCTCATTTCTAGATGAAAATGAAGATTTTTCTCAAATATCAATTTTAAAGCTTGTAAATGCTTTGCAAGCCACCAAACAAAGAAGATCTTTAAGGATGGAAGAAAATATTGAAGGTGTTTTTTTGGCATACACAAGAGGAAAAAAAATAGGAAGAAGACAATAAGGGAAAAGGTTAGAAAAACCAGTTTACATCATGCCACCACTGTAAAAAGAGTAACCACACTGAAAATTTGTGTTGATTTAGGACAAACATTAAATGTAGGGCATGCAATCAGTTTGTTCAAGTAGAGAAGATTTGTAAAAATAAAGCAAACACACAACAACATCAAACCCAAATTTTGAAGCATGAAGAATAATATGAGGAACATTTATTTGCTATTACTTGTTATTCAATGAGTAATAGCAAAGATGCATGACTCATAGACAATGGATGCATAAATCATATGACTCATGATGCTACAATTTTCAAGGAATTAAATCAATCCCAAATCTCCAAAGTCATCATAGGCAATGGAAAAAGTGTTGATCTCAAAGGTAAAGGAGTTGTTACTATTGAAACTCTTTTAAGTATCAAATATATTTTATATATTTTATTTGTGCCTGAAATAAATCAAAACTTTTTTAGTGTGTGACAAATGTTTGAAAAGAATTATTCTTTGTGTCTTAATAATATGGGATGCACCATTTTTTAATCTTATGGATGTAAGTTTATGTCCATTAAAATGATAAACAAAAGTTTTTCAATAGAGTGGAAGAAAAAAGCCACGCATGCTCTTTTAAAGAAAGATGAAGATTTTAAAAATGGGTCACTTGAAGCGACATTTCACTAGTACAAAAATGGCTTTTAAAATCGGGGTTTTAAAATCGGTCATCAGGTAGCCGATTTTAAAAGTGATGCGGTGGTAATTTTGTAAATAATGGCATTACTTTTAAAATCGGCTACGTTATGACCGATTGTAAAAGTCTCTGACGCTACTTTTAAAATCGGCTCTTGAATAGCCGATTTTAAAAGTGAGACTTTTAAAATCGGCTCTAAACAGCCAATTTTAAAAGTCTACTTTTAAAATCGGCTATTGAGTAGCCAATTTTAAAAGTATCACTTTTAAAATCGGTTATTGAAAAGCCGATTTTAAAAGTAGTATCAGAGAATTAATTACACTATCTCTGCTCCTATTGCTCCATTCTCTACTATTTTGCTTCAATATCATATATTCTCCCTCTTTACTCTGTGGGACTCTCATCTGAAGTGTGCAGTTTCTCATTTTCTAGGACGAATACAACATTGAGGTAACATTTTTGTTTCATGCATCTTATTTCATTATTTCTAGGCGAACTTTGAGTCTGAAACGGCCCCAGAACGGGCTGTACTGCTTGCAGAACGGCCTGTACTGCAAGTAGAACGGCCTGTACTGCTTGTAGAACGGGTCGTTCTGCTTACAGTACGGGCCATTCTGCAAGCAGTACAGGCCGTTCTGCTTGCAGAATAGCCCGTTCTGGGGCCAAATCCTATGTTTGTTGTATGCTCATGTATGAGGGGTTTTCCCAATTGTATTTGTTTCATCCCTATTTCTCCTTGAATGTTTTAATTGATGTAATTAGTATGTATGTATGAGTAGTGTTTGTGTTTGGATTATAATTACAGACTTTGATGTTTTTATATGTTCCTATGAGAAACCCTAAGGGAATGCATTGGTGATTGTAAGAGGAGATTGTTTGAAGAGGAAATTATATGAGTAAATTATATTGTGCTAATTAAATGTTTATTGTATGAATTAAAGTACTTTGTAGGTTCCTGAGAGAACCTTGTTTATATATTTTTTTTGCAAAAAAAAATAATTTTTTACGGGTACGGGTATACCCGATACCCGACAGGGATGGGGATGGGGATGAAAATCATATACCCGGCGGGTACAGGTATGGGTACGGGGATGAGTTTGTGTCGCGGGGACGGGGACGGGTATCATAAAACCCGTACCTGACCCGCCCCGTTGCCATCCCTACTCAAGGTGTTCTAAAAGTTCCTGAGGTACAATTTATAATAAGTGGAATCACGTACAACATGGGGTATTATTTAACATATGATATTTATCTATAATAAGCTACATTTGTAAAATTCATCCCAAAGTCACTAGGAGAAAAAAGAAAATTTTTCACCCAATGTTAAGAAACAACAAGATGTCAAAAGTGCTTTTGGAGTGCTTTAATCACATTTTGCAATTATATGTGGCTTGACACAATTTTGGAGCATGGATACATTGAAGCAAATAATGAATACATGCATAATATGAATGTCAAACATGAAAAAGAAGAATATAATGTCACTTTTGATTGTTCATATGTTGGTCCAAGTAATGATGTCTCAAAACCAAAAGTTTTTAATGGACATTATAAAGCTTTTAGAAGATATTTAAAAAGAAGTGTGCATATGCATCAAAAGGAAATACATCTTCACTTTCAAGTAAACTTAGGAAAGCATATTTGAAAATGTTTTGGACACAAAAATAAAGAAAAATGAATTTTATTATAGTGACAATTTATTTGTGTTTCTCTATGTATTTTAATAGTTATTATTATTATTTTTTATTTGCATTATATTCTATGTATTTTAATTTTGCAAAGTTAAATTTTATTGAATTAAAATGTATTGTATATTTATTTGTTATTTAACAATTGTGATTTAAATATATTAACTTAAAATGAATTTGAATAATGATATATATAAAAAATAGATATATTATGAGGTCCATATGAGAAACTTTAGTAAAGTTTCTTGTTTGGAGAAAGAAGTTGATTGAGTTATTTAAAGTAAAAAATGTGATTGGTATTATAAAAAAGTGCAAAATATTATGAGAAATGAGAAGATGTAGCAAACACTAGTTCAGAAACAACATTTAATGACATATTTTTTATGTCGGATAACATCCACACGACATAGAAAGTGATATGGTTACATACTAGTAACTATGAAAAAACATTTTATGGGGAGTGTTGATTTACTCATCATCAACTAACTTATCTCTATTTTGAAACTTATCTCTATTTTGAAATTGTAGGTATTTAAAAATCGAATTTCATTTCTCGATAAAGAGTTGGAATATATTCGAAAAATGACGTGCATTGACTTGCATATGGTATCTTTGATGGCTAGTTATTTTGCTACATTGTTATAGTTTTCTTTGTACATTAGTATTGATATATTTAACATTGTTATAGAATGTTTACTTTACCTTGATA